AGCTGTTGAATGAGGTTGACTAAATCTTGAGGTACGCCGTAGTGTTGAAGTAGTTTCCAAATGACTTCTCAGTCTATGCTGTCGAAGGCCTATGAGAAGTCGATGAAGCTGAGGCAGAGGTTTGACTGCCATTCTATGCTTTGTTCTATGGTGACGATGTGTAGAGTTCCAATTTGATCAGCACATGATTTGCCATTGCTGAATCCAGCTTGTTTCGAGCGGAGTTCTGTATCCAGTGCATCCTTTACTCTCTCCAGAATGATGTGACTTAGCACTTTACTTGGTGTGGACAAGAGCACTATTCCACGCCAGTTCTTGCACAGGCCTAAGTCACCCTTCTTTGGCAGTTTGATGAGGTAGCCCCTCTTCCAATCAATAGGTACCTTTCCTTCTTTCCAATTTTTTGCAGTAATGGAGTGAGAACATCTGCCGTAATCTCTGGGGTCGTCTTCAGTGCTTCGAGAGGAATTCCTTCTGGTCCTGCTGCCTTCCCGGACTTCAGTAGCTTCATCGCATTCAGGATTTCTTCTTTCGTTGGAGGAATGGTGTCCACTGGCATTTCCGTGCGTGCTGTTTGTGATATTTCTGAGTGAGTTGCAGGTGGTGGTCAATTCAAGAGTCCTCTGAAGTGATCAGCCCATTGTTTGATTTGTTTCTCCACCTTGGTGATCAGGTTCACTTGAGCATCTTTTATTGGTTTCATCATCTGCGTTGAGGTCTTTCCGGATATAGAGCTGGTTATTTGATATTATCTCCTGAGATCTCTTTTAACTGAGGCCTACTTGTTCTGCTTTTGGCGCCAATCAATGTGTCGTAGAATTGTCTTTTGTCTTTCCTAGCACTCTTCTCTACTGCTTTATTCAGTGTAGTGTACACTGAACTCAGCTCCTCCTTCTGTTGTGCATCTTTGCATTGAGTCATCTTCTTTCAACATCCTCCTCTCCTCGATTAGCTTGTAGATATCCGCTAAGAGTTATTCTTTGTCGTGTCTCTTCTTTCTTCCTAAAACATTTGTACATGTTTCGTTGAAAATCACCTTCAAAGAGTTTCAATATTCTTCCACGCAGGTTTCCTCAGTAATGCCAAGTAGTGTCTCCGACTTAGCTCTGATCAGATATGTAGTGAAGGCATCCCTTGTAGTTTTGTCCTTCAGATTCTCAATGTTGAATCTGAATTGCAGTGGCCTGTCTCCAGTTGTTTTGAAGGATTTCAGTTTTACCTTGAAGGTTCCTTGAACTAGATGATGGTTTGAACCCGCCCACATCTGCTTCTCTTCTCGACTTTGTATTCAGCAGATCGCGTCTCCATTTCCTTGAGCAATGTTGGGATGAAGTCTAACTGATTTGTGGTGTATCCATCAGGCGAAATCCATGTTGCTTTGTGGATATCCTTGTGCTTGTACACGCTCCCTTTGATCATCAGATCATTGAAAGAGCAGAAGTCTTCGAATAATTCTCCGTCCTCATTCACTTCTCCGGATAAGAGCCTCTCGACCCATGTTGAGTTCCCTTGATGCATTATCTGCCTCCAGTTCACATGGTATTTAAATCTCCCATAAGGATATTGATGTCACCATTTGGTGTGTTGTCCATTACTGTTTGTCGATGTCTGTAAAAATCCTCCTCCTTTTCTTGTTCCCCGTTGTTTGTAGTTGTGTAGCATTGCATAGTAATTGTTACCTACCTTCCTTTGGAGTTGAATCTTGGTGTCATGATCCAGGATGAAATTGGTTCCCACTGCATTAGGCCTTTGGCTGCCACTGATGACATCACAATGGCTACTTACTGCCTCAGTGTGTTCATGGTTGTCGTCTGGGTGACCGGGGTAGATTGTTGACTCTCCCATTGACAATGTCGTCAATCCACATCCATTCCATCTGCTTTCGCAGATGCCCAGTAGTTCTAAGCCATATCTTCGCATGGTACAATAGTTTACTTTTTTCACATTTAACCTTAAAATGATGGAAGATGGTTTCGCTGAAAAGGTATCTGGTATAATCATTTAACCAGTAGGTTTACATTTGTTGATACATTTTAGTTGCAGTTAGAAGCATTATTAGAAATTTCTAAAGAAATGAATAATGGATTGAATAAATTTATTCTTCTACTTTAACCGATGGTATTATAAATTGTGTATTGAATCACCTTATACCTCTTTGCTTGAGAGTGTTTACTCTACTCGGTAACAACATGAGGTGTGGCAAAATAAAAGAATGCACTAACTTTGTTTTGATGCTGCACATTTTATAGTTCAGTAGATCGTCAGACGCTGTAATCGATCTACACATTTTATTCATTACACCAAAGTGTACCTCTTTTTTATTCCTTTTCTTTCCCAGTGGAACATAGGGCTTCAAGCTATAGAGGCTTGAAGTTTTGGTAGCAGTGGTATTTATTTTTACGGGATAGGGTCGCCAACCTCATGCCCAACCTTCCCTCTTTATCAGTCTTATTACTGGCTTAGCAAAGTAAAAGAGTGCGTTGGCAGGGGATCGGACCCCGGAATACATATGTGGTCGGCAAGCATTTTACCGTGGTGCCACTGGCACACAAAATGTATCTCAAAGTATCTACTTTTTGCTGATATAAACTTTATGACCATATGATCAAGTGCCTCTTGTAATTGAAGTTGCAGATAACATGTTAAATCTAAGCTACTACTTCCTATTACTTGTTCAGGTTTTTGTTAGTTAAGAGGAAATTTGTGTTTTTTAAAAGTAGGCTTTAGTTTAACGCATAGTTTCTACCCAGACGTAATATTTTTACCTATGTAATCTAAAATTTCCTATGTCTACTGAAAATGGAAGTAAACAATGATGAAATTTATTCGTTTGTTTGTTCGGGGCTGATTCATAGATGCCCAATATTCATTCTTAATTGAAACGCATATACACTTGGTATTATATTCTGTTTATGCAAAGTAAGGCTATTGTTCTTCCTATTGTTGACGATTTACACAAGGCAGATATTCAATTAGTTACTGAAATTTGTGAATTCCCCTTTGTGTGTTGCTCATTTTTTGGTGACTGCCAGTGAAATCAAGGACTTGCTTGTGACAAGTCAACTTGATGTATCTGCTCCTCTGTGAGTGATAAACTTTCCTGTGAGACTCGCACCCGGCACTTATCGCTTCAATGGTCAGTAGGTTGTGCCATATCCCACGATGACTCGACTCAATCCGATTCTGATATATCAGTGGATGATTAAAAACGGTTGCAAGAATCATTATAATTTCAAAGTTTGCCTGAAAATGATTTTGTTTCCACTAGAGTAAATCTCCAGTTAATCATCAATAAATAAAATATTCATTTTATTTGTTAACGGTAAATTATTTAAACAGTTTTTGACTTGACGTCACCGCAAAATATATTGATTTTCTCTAGGAATTCATCTATTATCATAAGATATTATAACCTTATGGTTTTATCATTTTGCTGTGTCTGGACTACTACTGTCTGCATATTTAGTGTCACGTGATTACAGGTAGTTTATGTAAATAACATAAGAATGCGTCTGTTGAAAAGCATTTAAAAATCGGATAGTGTATCACTTTCAAACATAGCTGTTCTTCCGATATTATGTGCCCAATAGGTAGTCTATGCTAGAATCTGTCAAAGTTGTTCTAAAATGCCGTGTTACACTTTTATAATATCGACGAAAACTTTTTTTTAAATGTCATCTGATGGAAGATTTTTAGAAGATACACTACTTCCAAAGGAGTCTTCATCAGCGTAATTAGAATTTCATTGAGAAATAACATCTAAAAAGTATTATGCCCTATTATTTTTAATAAGGCTTCCTCGTTCTGGATTGGCACTTATTATCAGTATGCACTCACTATGTTTTTATTTTTGTTTCCAGTTATTTGTCCAACCCCAACTCACAAAAGAGAAGCTATGCTTCAAAGTTGAAGTTACTAGATGTGAAATTGTTTAAAAATTTACCCATTTGATTACCATACACTCATATCAACCAAGAACAAACCTAAGTTGTTATTCGTTTCGATTTGTTACGAAAACTAATATCAACCTACCAGGAGTTTGTGAGTGTATGAGCTAATGGTGTGTAACCAGCTCTTCAGAAAATGAAATATTCATATTACATTCAGCTAAAACACTGTTTTCCCATATCCGAATTACAATGCCTTAAAATTATTTATTTTTCCTAAACTTTATTGTCATCATAAGTGAATCCTTTTAATTCTTTCCTGTACTTCAAAGTACCTGTTGACCCGAATTATGCATTTTTAACTCCATCTACAAATAGTACCTTTTCTATTCCAAAAAATTCCCTACTGTTGTAAGTGAATTCTATGTGTCGAACTGTATTATAACGTGTAAATAGTGATGTTTTAATTTTTAACTTATTTAACTTCTACTAGGTATAAACGATTCAATATTTTTTTGAAAAACAGCTATGTACATATTTAAGAGTTCAAGCTGAGCAGCACATTTGTTCTTGAATTGTGACTGATTGGTCTGAGTGTTCAACTTCCACCTAGTAGGTCATTGGTTCAAACCGCTTTCCACCTATAGAAGTTTGGGCAGCCAGGTATTATTGTAACAATAGAAGACAAGGGCCAGGCAACAGATCGTTTATTAAGGAAAATCAACACATATTTATAGATTTTAATGTACATTATTGTAGATTATTGTTAGTAGAAAATACAGTCTTTTGATTGGTTGTTTCTCACAGATCAGATCATCCATATGCTAACTGCATCCGCCTACGCAAAGCCTTTGTTCTCATTTTCTAATCACTAATATTGGGGACATAAACGTTGACGTCAATTACTGTCTACTAACTTTGGCTAGCAGTCAGCTCTCACCACATTATCACCAGAGGTCGTAAAGTTTGACTCATACCAACTACATGAGAATGCAGTTGATTGTTGGGTCTCATTCCATTTTGTCATATTCCCATTCAGGCGTAATATAGCACGGATGAATTCATTATGTAAAAACAACTCATTTATTTATATGTTGTTGTTTTTTCCGACAGCTTATACCAGCACAGTGACTTATGTGAAAGTTTTTCGTCCACGCAAGAATTGTTATCGAATTATGATCTTATCAAACAACAACCGGTTTCTAATCTGAATAAATATGAACAATTGGACGTATACAACTTGAAATCTGAGCCAGTATTCACTTCGCACCTGTTGGGTAATCAAGATTCAAATGTCAGAACTAGTAACGCGAGAAATTATAATAAATCAAATTTTCACCAGGATACATCCAATTTCAATTCAAAATCGAATTCGTATGCAACATCCCTGTTGCAGGATCCCTTGTCAACGTTTCCTACTCAAGGTTGTCATCCTATGCTATTCATTTTTCTTAATAATGTATCCGATTTTTCTGAGTATGAAAATACTCTAACTCTAATCTTTTTTTCTAAGCACTTGTCCTACGATATATGATTATTTGCATCTGAAATAATCCGATAAGATTAATATCTTTGCTCACACTTTACAGTTAGTCGATAAAGTCAAGGTGAAAATTTTTTAAGGAAACCACTCTTCACCTCATGTAGTCTACAGACAATGCTGTGATACGGATTTTCGTATTTCTTATCGCTTTACGTCTTTTTTTATTCAGCTTGTTTACAGTTACCCAAACTGAATTCAATTTTTCAAATCAAATGTGTATCCTCCAGCAAGGCAGGCAGACAGTATTACTACTACTACTACTACCTTACTACAAGAAATTTGGTTGAAAACTTCAATATCAACCTTGGTTTGAACGTCTATACAGCACTATTATCGCTCGCCTGAGTGTTATAAAATATCTGTACTACTTTTAATAGTCGAATCCATACCCTCAATAAGTATATTACTCCTGTCAGTCAATCTCTTATCACATATTAAGTTACATATTTTTTTAAGCGTCAAATCATTGGAAAGACTATTTTCACTGTTAGTCAACTTACTACATTTCTGTCATTACGGAATATGAATATGGGTGACTGACCTCAGTGAATAGTCGCATATGGTTTTCATCTTCAATATGAAAATACAGTCTGATAAAAAAACAAGAAAAACAAAACGCACTTCAACTTATAAGTATGCACAAATATTTTCCATCAATTCAACATTTGTCTTACACTCTTAGAACTAAGTGTTAATAATCGCTAACATTGATATGCGGATAAGCTGAGCTTAATAGTTTCTAATCAGAGAACTGTGCGTCGGTGGCATAGCGGTCAGGACGCTCGCCGACCATGCACATGGTCCGGGGTTCGATCCCCGGCCGACGCACTCCTTTACCTCGCTAAGTCAGAAATAATGCTGGTGAAGAGTAAAGGTTGGGTATGGGGCTAGCAACCCCATCCTGTAAAATAAACACTGCTACAGAAACTTCAAGCCACTAGCTTGAAGCCCTATGTTCCAATAGGAAACGTGAAGGAAAAAAAATTAGAGAACTAAATTACATTTAATTGGTACGGTTAGTGACTAACATCCGAACTAAGGATATACACGCTTCGTTCTACTTGAAATTCATCACTTGGATATACATGCGTCCAAGTCATTAATGGTGTTCCCATGGGAACTTGAATGAACACAGTACGCGTCGTCTCAAACTCCAAAGGGTTATCTACTAGACTGTCGAGTCACCTTTCTGTAACATCGCAACCAAAGTGATCGATTTGTGTTGCCTATCAGTTAATAAAGTTCACTTGTCTTAAGAAATTGTTTCATTTTTATCTCCGAGTAGGTCTAAACTAAATCTCATTTTATGAAAACATACTTCTTGAAATTCGTTGAGAAGAATTCACTTCTCCAGGAAATGTTAACCGCTAGAGTTTGACGTTTTGTATACGTAACGTGACATTGTGTTTAGATAGATATTCATTGTCATACTATCATCGTATCGTATCCTTTTGTCTTCATGATACCACACTTCAATGGTGAAGTTTTTCATTTTGTAGTCATAATTGTATTTCGTGCAAGTGATATATCCCACAGCTTATGTAATGCTCAAAACTAAACTGTAAACAATTACTTTTCTTTTATATAAAGTTTAATTAGTAATTTCAATATATTTCATGCATAAGATTAATAAAGGAATATACCCCTTTATTACAGACGAAATGTACACAAACAAAAAAGATCAGATGGAAAATGTGTATGATTGTGTATCTTATCCAGGATATTCTGGATCATCATCGAGTGAATCAAGCCTATTTGACGCATTAACCTCACCACCGTCACCACTGAATGAAAGTAACAAACATCATAATAATTGCTACCACAACAATCAAAAGCAACAGCTTTTTACACAAGAAGAAATCCCCCTGGCTATGAAAATAATTGGAATGAGTAATGTGAGTAGTGATCAGGAGATTATTGATTCAAGTACAATCCCATCGAAAAATGAATTAGACGGTTATTCACTGGATCCTCCATTGAATCATTCAGCAGCAGCATCTTCGTCTGCTGTTATTTCTACTGCTCCGGTATCACTGCATAAACCATCTGCATATCTGAATGATATTTATTCCAATAAATCCAATTCAACTAATTCAAGAAGAGCTATTACACCGGCGACAAATACTACTGTTAATGACAATATGAATTGCATGACTAGTCATCCAATGGGACTATCATCAGTTAAGAACCAGGTAAGCTTGTATAAAGTTGGTATTGAATTTAAAGAAATTCGACAAGTTAGTACATCATTTTTGTTGTGTGTTTTTTTTATTCTCCACTATTCAGTTATATCTGTTAGACGTTTATGCTCTTAAAATCCAGTGTGATTTAGATTACATTCATGATCATCACGTTGGAAATTACTCTGGTACTCTAAAATATTTTATATTCTTTATGTTAAAAAATACCAGATTCTCGCTGAACAGATGATATCATGTAGGGCTATGTGGATGTGTGAAAAGTGTTCTATGAAATACATCACTGCGTATTACTTCTAGGTGTTAGAATTCTATAGATGAAAACCCGCGATCTTGATTGCACACTTGTTGGCGTAAATCATTACATATATCTTCAACCTTAAGAACCTCATATTATCTTTTACCTTGGAACCTGCATTATTCAAAGAGTTTACTATTGGGAAACTAGTGTAAGGATAGGCCGCTTACCATATAACAGTCGACTTACCTATCTAGTTCTAGTTGCGGATGTATCTAATTTGCAATTTTTTTTTACTTCGGCTATCTCCTACGGGAGGATGAGCCGGCTTCATGAACATCTCGAATCATCGCTGCCCAGGCGCGGGGATCTGATGAAGAGAGTTCATGAAGTTTCATGGGAATTTGGTACGAGTGATGTCCCCAGAATCGCTCGGCCTTTTGTTTGAGAGTGCAGCTCTAGCCTTTACACAACCAAATGTGACCTACAAGGCAGTAGGAGTGGAGTAGGGAGTCCACTATCCATTGGCAGCCGGTGACCGGAGTTCGGTTCATACGCCTTTGTGAATGGGGCTAGACATCCAGGACATCCAACAAGCCCTTTGTCCATACGTCTGCCGGTGAGCCATCTCCCCTAGACTGTCATCCAATGGACAGTCAACCCGGTGGAGAGCGCCGGGCATCCGCTTTCGCCCTCTCACTTTGGTGAAGAAACACCTCCGCCACGTGAAGGCAGTGAGTAGGACTTCCTCAGGAGAGGCTATGTAAGACGCCCGGTCATATGGGAGCATTTCAAGAGGTGTGCGGAGGGGTGGCCAGCCCGCAGCGCAAGGCACCCACCCCCGACCATCCTGAGGCTTTGGAGGCCTATGATTAATCTCAGTTTCACAATACGATAATGTATAGGGAATCGAACTACTCCACCAACAAATGCCAAATGTTAGTGAAACTCTTTCTACTGATTGACTGTGCACATTTTATATCAGAATAGTGTGCATTACCATGCACAGCAGTGATCACATTTTTCACGTTTGTCCAATCCATTTAAGTTACATAAGTTACTATCTGATGAAGAATTAATATACATATTGACTTTGTTTAAAGTGCCTGCTGTTTCGTGATAATAGGCAAGTGAAAGAAAGCATTTGCTCAAGTTATTCATACTTGAGTTTCAGGGGGAACACTATTGCTCACTGGGGGGAGGGACGCAGGTACATTCAGATGACGAGTTCAGAATAGGAATAAACTCGGATCCTTAAATTCACTACTAACCACCATCAACTAAGTAACATCATGTTATCCCTAAGGCATATTTCAAACGTCGTCCGTATTAGGAAGGTCTATGCTAAAGTAGATTACATATTCTGTCCAAGGAAAAAGGTAATCAACGGGAAATTCAAAATAATAATTTCATGCGCAATTTCATTTCATTCCAGATGAAATTATCATGATTAACTGTTTAAACCAACTACCACGCCTGGTTGTTAATTGCTCACCTACACGGTGTCTGCCGCTGTGATTTATTTATTTTTTTTCGACACAAGAAACAAATCATATTTATTTTCATTTTATCGACTAATTTATGTCTAGTAGTAGGATAACATATTTTAAATAATAGTGATTGTGTATCCACATGATAATCGCTTACTGTCAATCAGAGGATAATACCTCCACTACTATTTGCTCTTCACCACTTTAATAGAAGCTGTTACCACAAAGTCACAGATAGGGCATAGTGATTTTATAATACAAACGTTAAGATGGATTAAAATTCTGATATGTGTAATTAGTTCATTTGTGCACATGTAAGTCGATAACTGCAGCTAGATATGCTTATGGAAATGTAGAGTTACACTGTCGCTCGATTGCTCAATGAACAGATTCATTGTATAACAACTATATATATATATATATATATATATATATAGTCTGTTTCATTTCTGTGCTTATGGTATTCGGGACTGATGTCTTAACGGTATATAACCTTAGGGAACAAATGTTCCTGTATTTTTCTTGTAAAGAGCCTTTCTTATGTAATGTTCAGCAATAAATTGATTCCCCATAAAATGTAAATTCCTCTATGATGCGTTATTAGGATACAGTTTAAGATCCTTAGTTTCGGTATGTATCTTGAGATTATTTTATATTTTTGATGTATTTTTGTATAAAATCTGTTTAATTTGTTAGACGTTCGAAGAAATGCGACGTAATCTAACAGTTTACTCTTTTGAAGAACCCATAAACAATAAGAATTCATACGAATCTAACATAATCGACGACGGGCATATCTCTAAATTTTCTCATCATGATCCTTACTGCCCAAATCCTCATTTCTATTGTCGTTCTTACGATTATGCTAATGCTAACGTGGCTATGCAAGATCCAGCTTCTGAGTCGAAATTGAATAATGCAGATACTTTCGACTGTTCAAAAGATGACACCAACCAGTCTCATCTACTCCCACAAGCCCAAATCTGTCCAGTGTATACTGGTGTTGTGTATAAGGGACCCGATAGTGTGTATACGGTTCCTTTGAAGAAGCGTAAGTATTTAGATTCAACAATATTTCCTCTGTAAAATGTTTAATTTTTATTGATTCCCAGTCTGAAATTTCTGAAATTCATAAAATCTTCAAGATTAATTCTTAAATTTTTTTTACCTACTTCTCGTTTAGTCTTCTGTGGTTACTTACTGTCGAATTCGTTAATTTAACCACACCAGATTACTGTAACTACTGATAGCGATGACTTTCTTCATATTTGATAGATATATATATATATATATATATATATATATATATATAAGTTTTTAAGGCACACCACTATTTCTGATGCCTCACTGAGAAACTATTCGGAATGTTGTTTTCACTTTCATCACCTTCTGTGGTGAATTATGTATAGCTGTATACACTCACATATTTTGTACACAAATATACACCTAATGTAAACAAACAAGGGAATCAGTATATCGTCATATAAAATGCATTAGAAAATAGTTGTATTCTGGTAATTCTGTTCCTTTCATTAATGCTTTAGGATACTTAGACTGGCATATAAAAAAAACTCCATCTCCAAAAGTTATAATTCTGTTTAGACGTTTACAGTCACTATTTTCATTATGACTAATGAATAACTACCCACCAGAAGTTATTAAGAAATATGTATGAAGAACCATAGAAAAACCAAGACTAGCAATAGAAGCGACGAAAATAATATAGAATTCAAAGCCTCTGTAGCACTCCCGTATAAAGAAGGGACATCAGAGGCCTTACGTAGAATTCTCAATAACGCTGGAATTAGGGTGGCATTTAAACCAACGAACTCTCTCAGAGATAAACTTTGTCGGCTTAAGGACCCAATAGTACCAGTTAAGAAAAACAATAAAATTTAAAAAATACCATGTAATGCTGACTGTGAGGGTAATTACATAGGTCAAACTAGCAGATAAGGGTCAACTGGATAATTGGAACATAAAAATTTACCCATGTTGAAAATTTAGCTAGACCTAGAATTATTGACCCTGCTAGGTCAAATAACCTAGAAAAAAGCTCAGCCATTGCACTCACTTGCTCATAATCACAAAAGAAGGTGGGACATAGTGACAGTATTAAAAAGTAATGTAGTTAGGTGGAGAGCGAATGAGGTTAATCACTGAATCTTTGTTGATCGATTCAACACCGCATACGTGCAACCGGAATGATGCAACGCCTATACCAGAGATACGTGAAGTGGCAACAAACAACAGAAGGGAAGTTGGAGAGACAGAAAGATAGAAAATATGTATAAGACAAATTGTGAAAACGTGTAACTAAATTGATATGATTATGAGCAATAATTTATGCTCGAAACCTTGTCATTCAGTTGTTAATACTTCATCTCAGCGTGCTTATTAAAATAAACCTATCTAATATGGAATTACATTCCAACAGAGTGCCCAAGTTCTACACATACATTAATTTCATTATTTAGTTAGCTGTAGTGGGACGCGTACATTCCAACTGGTTCAATTTTAAAGTCAGACTTTCCGAATTGGACTTCCTCACTTAATTTCAGCGCCTTTATTTAAACTGGAGATTTAAACTTTACTCCTAATAATTGTTTAACACAAGATAGAGTTATATATTTTCTTTATGTCAAAATGCTTTTTTTCATTTATAGTTATTATCGTCATATGGATGACCCCGACTAGTGTTTTATTCTAACGAACTAACAGAGATAGATTGTGGTAAGCGAGAGGAAGAGGAGGGGGTGGTGGCGAAAAAATTGACAGATAAAAATAAATAGAGTATACCATAAGCAGTTATATGTGACCTCTTTCTTCTATTTATAATGTCACTTCCGAATTTTCAGTCGTTCTTCGTATGATATCTTATGAATGAGAAAAAAATTGACTTCTGTAAGCGTGAAATTAACAACTTCCTAATTCCATGAAACAAAAAAAAAATAGTTCATCAGTCATGTGAACTGGTTTTTGAAACAAAAACATTTGTATGCTATTGTTGTTTTTGTTTAATTCCTGAATGATTTGTTTATTTTTTTTATTGTATTTTTTGTTGTTTATTATTATTGTTGTTTATTATGAACTTCTATGTCTAATATGTTTTTGCATGAAAAGTGAATGATTATAATACATGCATTTCTCATCAGTTTATAATTTTCAGTTTCACACATCTTTCTTCGTTCTCTTCCTCTCTCTTTTCTTTTTCAGCTCGTCTATGTAGTCCAGTCAAAAATACATCTAGTGAAAATCATGACAATTTCACTAGTGTAAACGATTGCAGTTATCTGAATGAACTTAACTGCAATTATTTGGTAAATAATAGTCGTTGTGGTGGATCTAATAGTCAGTTGTTTACTGGACCATCAACATTTTATGATGACTGTTCATCTGTTGGCAATAATACTAATAGTCATGACGATAAACATTTTTCAGATGGAGATTATCACTTTGACTGTTATGATCAATCCTATGGTTATTACTACTGTCAACAGGACCCGCAACAACACCATGAACAATTCACATTGGGACAACAACAACATCCTACTTTTGGTGGTTTTATGAACAGAACAGTGATATACTGAATGATAAGGTAAAGAAGTAATATCGTCAATTGTAATGAGGAGTCATGTTGTCTGTTACCGTTGCACCCTGTCTACTCTCTCTCTCTCTCTCGCTCTGCACATTTATTTTCTTTTGATGATCACTTGTTCTCTACCGGTTTCTATTTTTACAAATAAATACAATACTGATTTCATGGAGTTTATCTTTCACTGATATTTCAGTTCCTATCGTCTATATGTGACAACAAAGTAAATGAGAGTCATTTGTTCTTACTTATTCACTTATGGTAATCATGGTTTTTTGTGTTTGTCTGTTTGTTGTTGTTGTTGTTTTTTAATGTCTGATTAAATTGATAGATTGATTCATTTCCATACTTACTGTTCTTGAAACGAAGGCCATAAAGGAACAAAGAGAATAACAAAGATAACTTTATTTGATTTAATTTTATTCGCTATGTTACTTGTGTTCCCCTACCCCCCCCCCGTTTTGTTTTTGTTTTGTGTACTTAATCTTTTTGTACTGTGATTAAAAATAATTTATTTTGTGATAGATAAAAATAAATAAACAAAATCATGTTTTATGAAAAGGAGTGCAGATTAGAAAAATGCATGAATGGAACTCAAAAGGTATGCCAACAAACTATTTCCCAGTATATATATATATATATATATATATATATATATATATATATATATATATATCACCTTGTTATTCTCATCGTCACTGTTCCCCACTTATCTACGTCATCTCTGCTAGCTTAGTTGTTTTTCATCCTTTTTTCTTGTTGTACTCGCTGTAGTCATTGTCAGCCGCTTTCAACTGATGAAAATGCCTGCCTACTCTATTTGATTTAGTCCACCTGTCTATCTGTAGTGTTTTTTATTTCTTTCATCTGGTGCTTAAAGCATTTCTTCTGGTTGCATACTCTACAAAATTTTAGGCATATATTATCCGTGTTACTTCTATCTCAGTTTCTCTTGTCTGCCAATTTCTTTTGAAACGCTTTTACTATCATTTTAGTAGTAGGCAACAAATCATTTTTTGTTCAGTAGTTTCTATGATTGATATTTTGTATTCTTTAGAAAAGTTAACGTACCCGCTAAGATTCTCGCAAATACCCCTCTACTTTGTACTTTTTTTCTTGCCGAAAAACAAAGATATTTTGAGTCCCCTTTGATTTTGCCATTCATAGGAAGAATTTTCCAATTCAAACAATGGCTATACTAAATTTGTGCTAAAGAGAAACTTATTGATGATTATAGTTGTTATTTTGCTTTTTTCTCTCTTTTAATTCTCCTGGTGCTTCTCATTCTGATGCGTGCATGTTGTATGTGTGTGTGTGTGCTGTTTATGTTTTACGTCTATTCCCCTAATTTTGTATTTGCTATTATTGTTATTGCTTCCTCTGCGCCCATATGTGTATGTGTTTTTTAAGTGATTGAATTCATCAAAAGATATCTTACTGCTGTGTATCTTTCTCTCACCATTTCTTGATAAATCAATTTATTATATTAGATGATTTGTCTTATCTCTTGTCAGTAGTCGTAAACACTGTGAAAATAGGAAAGATACAATACTGTGGTTTACATCGATGACGAAATTAAAATATGATTTTGTGCAACAGAAATACTTACCATATGATTTACAGCAAAGATCTTTACATCGATCAGTAGCGTTAATGATTATGTACTGATCATATCTGTTACTATGGTTATGAACGGTTAAATTGCGTTCGAAACGCCATCCAGTAAATAACACCGTTTCACTGTGTGATATATCGAATTAGCGAATTAAGACAGAACCATCATGGACGGCTTCTATAGTTGTTAGGAAAATCCTAATAACCACACTAAATGATATTGCCACTTATTATAGATTTACGTTGACAATTATAATTATCCAACGAACATTTTACTCGAAATCAGTGAATACTGTATGGTTATCATCCTAATAAAGCCTGATATCAAATTTGGTTGGCTTTGCAAATAGTTATGAATAATCTATAACCGTGGGAGAGTAAAATTCTAGTGGATTTCTGCAATTCTGTCCAAGGTTTTTTCGACAACCAAAATCTCATTTAGCTCTTATAATAACAAGCAGTAAATCGAATTTGAGTCATCTCAGTGCTGGCTGGTAAAGCAACTGTAATCAGTTAACACTGGGCAACACACATCTTTACTAACTTCTCAGTACAAACAGTTGCAAATGGAGCAGAGCAGCTGTATTGCATCAACACTTCGGTTCCTTATTACTTTTAATGCAGTATGCATATTAGTCTTCCAACTCGCGAAATTTGAACAAGCCGTCTAGAACATGAAATAAAACAGTTAATCTCCTGCAAAGTTTGAATGTCATCATTAAGATTCGATGACTAGGTAAACAAAAGTTTTGTCGAGTGTCTGGAAATCAAATGTAGCTTCATGAAGAAAAGAGACAATTGTTTTTGTGATAACCATAATGGTGTCCTCTGGATAAACACTACCTAAGATTCCAAAGTCTGTGATTATTTTATGGCATAGTGGGGTCAGTTAACAAGAGGCTTTCTATTTCGAAAAAAGTAGATTGTTCGAATACTCACCTTCCAGTCTAATCCAAGATACAGACACATACGCTTGACTTTAGTCACAATTCTTAAACCAGTTTTGGCATTTTTCTTAAAACACAGTTACTTCGTTTATATATTGGCTGTTAATTAAGAATGCTGTCATCACAAACTCATTCCTCGCTCGCCGACAATTAATAATAATTACTTTTTTCCCAACAGTATTTTGGTACAAATATGAAAATTTCAACATCTGAAGTGAAAACAACCAGTTTTTTCCTCCAAGAATGTCGAATTGTGATCACCTCTATACATAGGTACCAGTATGGTCTTACTCCAGTTTCAGAACGGGACAATAGGCTCTGTTTAACTGCTTTTTTAAAAATTCACTTGTTATACTAAAATCCTATAACAATTTAATCCACACAAGTAATACGTTGCCACTAAGAGACACTGTCAAAAGCATTGCGTTAGATAAGTACTTTGTCCAATTCAAATGGGAAATATGATGCCTCATAAATGGTCCCCAGTTTCAAGATAGAAATAGAATTTACTGATAGCTTTACATGTTTAGAAAGTTACAACAGTCACCGACAACCAATTAGTCGTGCAATATTAACATAGATATAGCGAACTCATCTGAGATTGATCAGGTTGTATAATCTGTAGCACTCACAAGATAAGTCACCGCATTACAGCAGGGCGTATGTTGTGCGTATTCTGGATACTTTGACACTAAAACCACAGTAACAGTTCCCTGAGTGCTTAAGCTTACGTAACATCGTCTATTATAAGCTTCCAGACCGTAGGTGTTGCGAACTTCCTGGCAAAAATTGAGTGCATAATCAAATTGATTCATTATAAATTATTTAAATTAATCCCAGCGTGTTTGAGAAAATCAAAACAAGATTTTCCTGAACGTTTCACTGTGTAAGCTACAGCTTCTTCAGCAGATTTATTCGGATTTTTAATAATGATCAAAATATATAGTCAAAATGTTTTACAGAAATTGAAGACAGCGGACATAAGATTGATTTAGACAACGTCGAAATTCTTGGAAGAGGATTTCATTCACATAAAGAAAGGTTGACCTCTTAAGCCTTGCACATTTTAAACACATCGAATGCAGTGAATGGGAAAGAAGGGGTAGACTTATCGCCTATATGGCAAACTCTTATGAAGCAAGACAGATGAAAAAACTCTAGAGCCTCCATGACCTTTTGAAAAAGGTATTATCATGTTTATCACATGTGAAATGACGTCTTTCCATATGACAAATAACATACATACACACTCATACAGAACTAATCCTTACAAATCAACTAGAGAAAAATATACATTACAAATATATGATGACTGCTTACATATTTCTATTGATAAAAATGTCCATGGACAAATGGCCTTCAATTTCTGTAAAACTTATTGACTATATATTTTGATCATTAATAAAAATCCGAATAAATCTGCTGAAGAAGCTGTGGCTTACACTGTGAAACGTTCAGGAAAATCTTGTTTTGATTTTCTCAAACACGCTGGGATTAATTTAAATAATTTATAATAACATCGTTTATGTTTGATGGGGCCACAAAGTGTTAAGTTAGAAAAGTAAGCCAATTACTGAGGTTGTAGAGAAACTTCAGTGTTGCAAATTTAAAAATAAAGGAATACGTGCTGAATTTCATCAGCTAATAAATAAAATGAGCTCTTTTTATCATGTAAACGTATACGTTCGTAAGTTTGCAATCTCTTGTCAACTAATATTATGTAACATTTGCATACTGTGCACAGTTGATGAGAAGCCGACGGAATAAGTGATCGTACCGTCATATTCTGCATAAATTGTCGTTCGTGCTTTGTTATCACTCTTTCAATATGTTATATGTCTCATAAGGAAACTAATGTGCACTAATCTTTAGACGAAATTTCTGCTCAGAAAGCTTCATTAAGAAAAAGCTCATTCAAATTTTCAATAAATGAGGCGTGAAATCCTAGCACATCTGTATATCGAAAATGTTTTAGAAGTAGTAATTTGATTTGATAAGTACAAGGGCTTCAAATCACTTAAGACATCTTGTATCAACAGAAAGATGATATAGCTAAAGGTGAATGAAGTTTATAAAACTATACTAGTTACGTTGGACAGTTTCGAAACCCTAATATACACTATATCTACGAATGGCAGCTAAGTGCTATGATACAAATGTTCCATCTTAATAATCTTTTATGGACATAGTTATAAATTCATTAGAAAATTTGAAACAAGCCACTTTTAGGAATGACTACGAATTTTTATGAAAAGGCATTCAGATGGAAATGCATTCAATACATATATCTATATGCATATTACCTATTAGCCAGTCCTGTTAAATTTCACCAGACACGCTCAAAACTTAAGTTTTGAGAATGAAACAGATCTGTCGAGACAATCAACCAGAGCGTGTGTTGTGAAAGTGAGGTTGTCCAATGCGATTCGGATGGTGTCTCGTTTGATAACTGATAACAACTGACGTCTTCTAAAACAAACTTCAAAGGGTAACCCACTCAGCTTATAAACAAAGTAAAAGGCTGATGGATGAAGCCTACCCACAATCTTCAACTCAGTAATACTCACAAGACAGTTTAAAAACGATAATATGGTCAATGGCTGTAGAATCTTGACCGTCCATAATTCACCAATGAAGAGAAGTAGAATTAACCAAAACACAATTCTGCTATCCTGTTATGAGGAAATACTCTCAAAAAAATGTTGCCCAAATGAAAACAGACCCTAGACGGACGTTGTGACACCTGCTCCGAGATATCCAGACTTTGAAGTGAACACTCTAGGCATTCTAGACAACCAACAAGTAAACGATAACTAGTGGCAGTCATGAATACTAAATACGCAAATTATGAGACATGTACTGAAAAATTACGATGATACACATATTAACGAATTATGAATTATTATTATTGTTAATTTAAATATCATATTGTAACTTATAAGATGGTCAAAAGTTGGTGAACTTTGTAGTGTCAAAATGTTATTTCTATTTCGAACAGAAGTTATTAATTCCATGAAAATCATGATTTTCTGCTTTTTTTAATTATGCTGTTTTGTAATTTAGTATTTGTAGTATTTAATCTTCAGAAGTGCTTAATTTTATTTCACTATCTCGAGTATGTACGTCAATTGAATAATTTTCTTGTATGCTAATGACTAATATGAATGGCTTTATTTTATTATCACGTGTGTCATATATTTCATTTCTGTCTGACATTATTTTTAATAAATCATTACCTGATATATATATATATATATATATATTGAGTGTTGTGTAGTATCAGATAGCTGACAACTAACAAAATCCTTTCACCCCATTTATTGTTTTCATTGACTATTCATCATAAGAATGTACTTAAACATGTGGAGAATTTATACCGCTGAACCCATATAAAAAAAATTCATATCTAAAGTTGTTACGACTATGGTATTTGTCTTCTCTACCTATCTCAGTCAATAATGAATACAGTACACTTTGAAATCTTAACAAATTAATTATCACAGCATACTTTGTCGATATAATCAGGTCATAACTGATTAATAGGGTAATAACACATCTGTAACCATGATACAGTCTTAACTCTTAATACTCCATCATATCTACGATAATTTAGGACGAAATGGACAATTTTTCTACTGTGCACTAGGTTTCTTCTCTTCTACCCATATTTCCACATTTAGGCAAAATTTTTATGCAGACGACGAATGTGAAATACAGAAATTTTAATATTATACAGATGTTCAGCAAGTTCATAATGCCACCTGGAAGATCTACAAAAGTAATTAAATCTTTAGCCTAGCGATTTGTTCAACAATCAATTTGGGTAGATGAACATTTATATAACTCATGCTGTCTCCTATTTTCATCATATATATATATATATATATATATGCGTTGAGGATGCCGTCTGGAAA